GCCTACAATCACAATATTACTTTTATGTTGGATTGAACTGAACTTTGGATTTAAGGATTAGAATGTGAAAATATATCGATAAAGTTTGATGTATATTGTGTGTTTGATGAAATGCTTCAAAAAGATTTTTAATTGATTGTAATATTAACATGATTATGTGTATTAAATAGAATTTATTTGATGCATACTATGTGTTTGACTAAATGCTTTAAAAAGATTTTTGGTCTATTTGTATTTTTTGAAAATATTATATAGCTAGTCGCCAATCGCCGATGGAGTATGTGAATGACATAAAACTCATGGCGAGCTATATTTTGTTCTGAAAGAGCTATAACTCTTTGTGATATATTGTAGCTTACTATATATTGTAGCTCATTGTATGAGAAGTACAGCTATTTAGTGTAAAACATAGCTCTTTATCGACAAAATATAGCTTTCTATGAGAAATGTATAGCTGTTTATATAAAAAAATATAGAGCTATACCTTGTAATAAAGCTTTATAAATAAAGAGCTATACTTTACAATAAAAAGCTATACTTTTTCAATAAAGAGTTATAGTCAATTTGTAATAAAAAGCTATACTTTTTTTTGAAAAAGATCTATAATTTTCAAATAAAGAGCTATACTTTGAGATAAAGAGCTATACTTTTCTAATAAAAAAGTTATACTTCACAATAAATAGTTACACTTTTCAAAATGAGCTATACAGTTATACAAGGAGCTACACTTTGAAAATAAAATCCTACATTTTTACATAAAGTGCTACACTTTGTTCAGATATTGTATAAACGAGAGTGCAACTAAAAGTTATAAAGAATTGAGCAAGCAACTATATACATGATCACTCATTTTCATCGATCAAACAATTACTGACTTGATTTATTTTCTACGTTCTCAGAGCCAACAAAGAGCTATACTTTAGCAATAGTGAGCTAAACTTCTTCTATAAAGAGCTATATAATTATAGAATAATTTATGATTTGGAAATAAGATGATACGCTTTTGCATAAAGTGCTTCACTTTGCTCAAATATTGTATAAATGATGCAACTGAAAGTTATAAAGAATTGAACAAACAAATATATACATGATCATTCATTTTTATTGATTAAAAACTTACTGATCAATTTATTTTTTGTATTTTTAGAGACAATAAAGAGCTTTGTTTTAGCCATAATGAGATATACTTCTCCTAGAAAGAGCTATACAATTGTATAAGAAGCTACACTTTACAAATAAGGTGCTACACTTTTACATAAAGTTCTTCCAAAGCAAAAATATTTGATATGTGATGAATCATATCAATTTAAATATATGAACACATTCTGGTCTCCTTTTGTCTCGTTGCTAGATGTAATGGTGTTGACCTGTTGTTATCAGTAACATTTATAAATCTAGAAAATTCCCTATGATTAACAACAATAGCCACCTTTAAGCTTATTGTTGGTGGGAACATTAAAGAAGAAAATTTGAGAATTAAAATTTGTATTATTCTCTCTAACAAACTTAGAAAAAGAATGAATTACAATTCTCTCGATGCAATCTCTCTCTAACATACTTAGAAAAAGAAATTACAATTCCTCTCAATTGCTTTCCCAAATTACAAAAGAGAGAAGGGATGGACGGAGACTCTTTCCTTTGTTTAACTTGGGTTCTTCTTGGTGTCGATGGGACTTCAGATCCTTGTATCCCGTTGACAATCCGAACGCTTCACCTTGTGGTACACAATATCTTCCTCTCAGTTGACGTTGAGGAGAACTTGCGTAGCAAGTGTGAAACTCTTAATGAGTTAAAGAACTCAAAGCGAGTTGGAAACTCTTTGAAAGAGTTAATTTGATTTAACCGAAACCGGTTTATAGCCAAAGATGAAGAAAAGCTCCAAAGATCTCTATTGCCGAGGAATGATCCCAGATCTCCAAGGGTGAATGCCGATCTCTCCAAGATCCGAAAGTGCTCCCAGATCCAAAAAGAGTCTCTCAATTTGAAGATTTAAAAAAAAATCTCATTTAAGCTGATTTTTTAGCTATTTATAGGGGATTAAGGGGTGCAACCGCCCCCTTAATTCGCTCCTAAGTGGAGGAGTGATCCCCTCAAATCATGGGGAAATGGGTTTGAAACCATTCAGCTTGTGTTTGAACGAGTCAAATGTAAGAATTGCATTCTGGGCATGAACTCTACTTTCTGGACCTGGGACGCAGAGTTGAGTTCTGCACTTGAGGCTGAAAAACGCAGTGGTGAGCCATGCGTTTTGAGTCTGGAACGCAAGGTTGACTCTTGTGTTTTATTCTTGGAATACACAGATGAGTTCTGCATCTGAAATTTGGGATGCAATTCTGAACTGTGGGTCTAGCTTCTGAGACGCAAAGGTGAGCATTGCATCTTAATTCCGAGACGCAAATGTGAGCTCTGCTTCTTGAATTGAAGAGACTATTGAATTGTAGTCTCTTTTGTTAGAGCGTTTGCGAAGATCGTCATCTTATAGTCTCCGTCTTGGCTCTTTAAAATGTGAGAGTCGTCAGATTATAACTCCCGCTGTTGTTTGTGAAAGCTGTTGATCAGAGCTTTCATCGGTTGTCGTAAATGTTGTCAGATGGTAATCTTTCTCGATCTACATGAAAATCTTCCAATTGTAGCCTTCATCTGTTAACGTGAAAGTCGTCTGATTGTAACTTTTATCGTTGGATTGGTGATGCGAAAGTCGTCAGGTTGTAACTTCCATCATTAGTGTTTGATGGAGATCAGCTATCTGTAGTGATTTTTAGACATTCTACACTTATAAATTTATAATCTAAAAAGGTATATTAATTTGTAGATATTCACCAAGAATCAACAACTGAGGTTGAATTGGTAGCAGATAGAATTGCTTCTAAACAATCCGAATGCCCATAATATGCAGCATAATACAAAAAACTTCTATTATGCAATGAATAAAACATCAAAATGTAAAACAAGTGAAATTAATTTCTCTTCAAATCTCAACATAGAATCAAACCTACTAAAATAACACTGAAGGAAGAGTATTTCTTACTGCAGCTCTAGCTTCAAGGAGCTTCTCCACACAAGAAATTTTTCCATGCATTGTAGCGAGCATCAATGGAGTCCAAAAATTACAACAGAAAAAATCCCAAAAATATCAGATCACATAAATTCATTAACAATCAAAATTTGAAATATACCCATTAACTGTTTATGCCTTTTGAGGAGTTATGGATGCAGAGATCGATCCAATAGCATCTCAAGAACTTAAAGTCAAGCAAAACAAGAACTTTAGACAAAACAAGAGATATTTAAAAGGGAACCAGTTAAGTGACCAAGAATCAAGATTCAGACCTGTAGATGGACTTTGGTGGTGGCGATGTGGAGGGCAGAGAGGCTGTCGAAGACAGTGGTTCGTCGGAGCATTTAGGGCTCGGTGGAGAGAAAAGATGCCACGATCTCAAAGTCTCTAGTTTGAACATCGTTGAAGAATTCGTACTCGTCACTTGACCAACCGCACGTTAGAGATTGACCCATTTCCCTCGCCACCGC